AGGCGCAGGGAGGGCGGCCCTCAGCCGGAACCATGGCGAGATCCAGCATCAGCGACTACGATCGCACCGAGGCTTGGCTGGATGATCATTTAGACTTTGCGCATTCATACTTTGTCCGGAAGGCAACCAGGTAAGAAGCGTTAAACTAGCATTAGTTTCAATAAATCGTGCACAGCCGCTCGCTTTGTTTTCAGTCAGAAAAGGGGGACGTTTTTAATCTTAATTGACTGCAGTTTGCAGACAATTCATTTAAGCGAAATTCATTTGAGATCTATATTGGGATTGATAGGCTATTGGTGCGGTTAACGATACAATAGCAACTTTATTATGTTTGAAAGGCAGATGGGACAGTGAAAATTTGTTCATTATTGGTTAGTGTGGCCGTTGGTTATTATAAGCATTCAATGCATAATCATAATAATATTTTAGGGGAACACAATATTTCCTTGTGGTGTCATGCACTGCTGGCAGAGTGTCAACTTCGAATATTCAGAATATCAAGGTGAATACTACACTCGGTATCTGGGAATCATCCTTTTCAACACGCTTTTCCCCTAACATGTAAGACCAAAAATATTATCTCTACAGCAATAAGTAATGACATGCCACAGTTGATAGTGTAGAGTATTACATATTGCAGTAGGGACAAGATATGTCAGATTATAAAATGAGTAATAGAGAAATGGTTCCTGATATGAACTTCATGATAAAAGTGTGATTTATTGTGGTCTAGCACAGTATGACAAGTGAAAAACTATGAAAAAGACTTAGTCACAACCATAAATGTTTTGTTAATTAATATCATTTCTAAGTAGCAGCATGCAGAAAGGTGTCAGAAAACAGTCATTGTTCTGATAATTTAGCACTTGAAATTAGCATGTATCGTCTTTGTCACTTCATTTCTTAGTGGCTGCCTTTTTAAAATATAGTTTAGCCACTGTACCATTGTAAGTACAGTACTTTAAAGGACAGTCCCCTTGTACTTTATAAAGACTGCTATGTGATTTTTCTGTTGCCTCAAGTCAAAACAGAATTATTTTGTAACAGGTGTAATCAATCAATATATATTGCCATCATTAACTCAAATGCCAAATTTTATGATCACTATCCTTTTTCAATATAATTATTAAACTGGTGAAGGAAGTCGCATGCAAAATATTACTTTGACACTAATATTACTTTGACACTGATAATATATATTCATTGGGTTTGTATCTCATTTAAGTGAATGAAATATTCAGCAATACTGATATATAGTATTTTGCTATATATTAATTGGTCTTTTGGCATTTTCTTACCAAAAACATTTTTTAAAGTGTTTTCTGTACATTTTTTAAAAAAGGAAATGACAGACTATATTCAGATTTCTCATTAACACTGAGAGCACAGAGATAAAATTTGAAGAAAACCAAAAGAACTGCAGATGCTGTAAATCAGGAACAAAAACAAAGTTGCTGGAAAAGCTCAGAAGGTCTCGCAGCATCTGTGATGGAAAAAACAAAGTTAACGTTTTGGGTCTGGTGACCCGGTTCTGAGGAAAGGTCACTGGACCCAAAACATTAATTCTGTTTTTTTTTCCTTTACAGATGCTGCTAGACCTGCTGAGCTTTTCCAGCAACTTTGTTTTTGTATAAAATTTGAAGATGTTTTTATGACACTTATACACCCATTATTATCAAGAGATAAAAATCAACAGACAGTGCTTCTATTAACAAAACAGCAAACATTTTCAGAAATCAATCAACTTTTTCAAAGCTTTTCTTTGTGTTTTTGTGTGCACCTCCAATTCTTGGTTATTTGAAGCATTCTGTTCATCAAATAGGAAACAAAACCGTTTCAAAAAGGCAAAACAATCAACAAGTTTCGAAGACGTAGCACAAATTCATATCACTCTGTGAGCATCTGTCTGACCAGATTGGCGGATGAGGTGATTAAAGGATCTGTCTTCTGCAATAACACAATGTGTTTCAGAACTTCTCAAATAAAACTGCTAACCTGCCAACAATGATGTTTCTTCCTGTTGATGCCCAATTGAATATGATGATGTAGAGGAATTATTGAGCCTGACTTAATTCAGATTCTGAAGCTACACTAGATAAATTAACATATTGTGACTGATAGACTGTATAGTCTAATTTGTAGTGTTGGCTTCAGTAACTTATCCAAGCCAGTAGTGACTAAGAGTAATTTGCATTATGTAAAAGTAATTTAAATTAGCAGAAAATGAGAAATACATAAGAAGATGAAGTGCAGCTTTTGTTGAGTAACCAAACTATGTGCTTTGGAAAAAGATTATGGGCTCAATTTGCTTGTGGCTTTTGTCTTACAAAATGCCCAGCAACACATTCACATCACAGAAGGAGGCCATATATGACCCATCATGTCTGCATCAGTCAACAAAAATCTGACTGTGGTAATGTCATTTTCCTGTTCTAGGAGCACAGCTCTGGATGCTGTGGAATTGCAAATAAACATCTGAATATTGCTGAGTGCTTCTGATTCAGCCACCTTGCAGAAAATAAGTTCTAGACTCCTATTGCCTTCTAAATGATGAGGTTATCCACAACTCACCTCTTACCTCTTACCTTAAATCTATACTCCCAGTTATTGACCCTTACATAAATGGAAAAAGTACCTTCCTGCACACCCTATCTAATGTCCCTCATAATCCAAAACACCTCTATTAGGCTCCGTCTCAACCCTGAGAAAACAATCACAACCTATCCAATCTCTCCAAACAGCTCAGACCCCGCAGACGAGGCAGCATCCTCATAAATTTTCTTTCTCTGCACCTTCTCTCGTACAATCACATCTTCCTAGAATGTGGCAATGAGAACTCCATGTGGTACTCCATTTATGGCCCAACCAGCATTTTATACAATTCCAGCATAACCACCCTGTTCTTGTATTCTATGCCTTGGCTAATAAATGCAAATATCCCATAGACTTCTGTCACAACCCTATCAACCTTCCCTGCTGTCTTCAAGGATCATGGATACGTATGCCAAGATTTGGGGAGGCAATGGCCTAGTGGTATTATTGCTGGACTGTTAATCCAGAGACCCAGATAATGTTCTGGGGATCTGGGTTCAAATCCCACAATGGCAGATGGTGGAATTTGAATTCAATAAAATATCTGGAATTAAGAATCTAATGATGACTGTGAATCCATTGCCAATTGTCAGAAAAACCCATCTGGTTCACGAATGCCCTTTAGGGAAGGAAACTGCCATCCTTACCTGGTCTGGCCTACATGTGACTCCAGATCCACAGCATTGTGGTTGACTCTTAACTCCCCTCTGGGATGGGCAATAACTGCTGCCTAGCCAGTGATGCCCTCATCCTGTGAATGAATAAAGGAAAAAAAAGATCCCTTTGATCTGCAGCACTTTCCTGGCTCCAACCACTCATAGTGTAATCCTTTCCCTTGATTTTCCCTCCCTAAATCACCTCTCATTTTTCTGGGTTGAATTCTGTTAGCCACTGCTCTGCCCAACCGACCTTACAATTTATGCCTAACCTCCTCACGACTCACCATTTTGTAAATTTGTCTGCTTTGAACTTCTTGGTTGCACTTTCGACTGAATCATTAATGCATAGCCCCACTGGTAACAGACTTCCCTGATCCATTATCCTCTGTTTCCTGCCACTCAGCCAATTTTGGATCCAATGTGCTATTTTGCCTTGGATCGCATGGGTTCTTACTTTCTTGACCAGTCCACACTGAGAGATTTTATCAACAACATCACTAAAATCCATGCAGACCACATAAAATGCATTAGCTTCATCAACACATCTGGCCCCCTCATCAAAATCTTTGATTAATTGTGTCAAACATGACTTTCCACTATATAAAAAACAGGCTGACTATCCTGATTAATCATGTCTGTCTAAGTGCAGACATAGTCTGTCCTCAGAATTATTTCTAACAACTTAATTGCCACCAAGATAAGACTGATTGCCTTGGAATTTTCTGCACTATCCCTCTCTCCCTTTCTAAATAATGGGATAATTTTTACAGTCCTCCAGTCTTCTGGCACCTTACCTATGGCCAGAGGAAACCTGAAAATTGCTGCCAGAACTTCAGATATCTTATCTCTTATCTCCCTCAACAGCCTGGAATGCATCTCCTTCATGCCTGCAGATTTGTCTACATTTAAGGCCGTTAAATCCTTTAGTACCTTCTCTCTCTGTCTGTCTGTATGTTAATTTTCTCTTTTTTTTGACAATCCTTTACCCTGAAGTCTATACCTGTGTCACTCTTTGCCATTGTGAAAATTAATGCAAAGTATTCACAGAGATCTGTGTCTACATCTTCTAGCTCTGTACACAGATTACCTCGATAGTCCTTAATGGGCCTTATTCTTTCCCCAGTTAATTTCTTGCTGTTTTATATCTAAAAAAAACCTTTGGGTATCCTTCTATTCTACCTGCAATACTTTATCGTGTGCTTTCTGAGCTTTCCTAATTTCCTCTTGTAAGATCACCTCTGCACTTTTTCATATTCCTCTAGGCACTCTGCCTTAATGAGCCCTTAGTATCTGCCATTAGTTTCACTTTTTTCCCCTTAATGCTAACTTTTCTGCTGTTTCGCACCCTGGGATCTCTGGTCTTAGTCCCACTGTCTGCCTGCACAGGATGTATTTGCCGTGTACTCTTACTATTTCCTCCTTGATGCCTCCAACTGTTCTGACACAGTTTTATCTGCAAATAGCTGCACCTAGTTCATTTGGGTCAAATCATAACTTATCATAGTAAAATTAGTCTTTCTCCTGTTTAGAACTTTTATTCCCATCCAATCACTATCCTTTTGCATAGCAATCATAAAGCTAACTAAGTTATAGTCATAATCTATTGATAGCCAATTGATATGGCTCTGACCTGATTGGTTTCTATTTGAAAATTAGGTTCAGAACTGCCCTTGTTAGGCTTTTTAAAAGGTCCTCTTGGATGCAACTTAAGAATGTTGTTCCCTCCTTACCTTGCACATTAAAACTATACCTGGTAATAATTAGGGAGGTAGGGGGTATAGAAACTGTTCTCTGCAACTATGACTATTAAGTCCCAAATACGGTGGCCCAACCAGTATCAGGGTTAAGGAGATCTTCTCAGGGCTGGAGAGGAACTTAG